AGCAACAATAATGCGATTGTCTCATTCAACTCGATAATATTTTAAATAGACTTCAATTGTGATGTAACTTGAAATCTTAGTGAACGAGAATAACACTGGACTCATATTTGATTATGATATTTATATTAAATGTCAGCTAATAATGCATTTGAATACTTTCAAATGAATTTGTTATTTCTACAAAACTATCATACATTTTAATAAAAATGAAAACGTTAGTTCAATGATACAATTGATAGTTATATGTTAACAAAAAGGTTGAAAATCATTTAGTCATCACATTGTTCGTCTTCATCCATTATTGTATATAACTTTTCATTTGATTTCAATAAACAATAAATTCGGATAAAGTAAATGTGTAAGTCTAGAACACTAAACATCTATTAACCGGATACCATCAGGAACAGCCTACTATTGGAGAGAACAAATCAGCTTCCATCTAAAGAGGAAATTACAAGCAGACGATGGAAGCGGATAGGACACACATTACGGAAATAATCAAAATGCATCACAAGGTAATTCCTAACTTGGAATCGTGAAGGGAAACGGAAAAGAGGAAGACCAAAGAACACATTACGTCGGGAAATAGAAGCAGATATAAAAAGGATGAATAACAATTGGAAAGAGCTAAAAAGGATTGCCTAGGACAGGTTTGGATGGAGAGTGCTGGTAAACGGCCTATGCTCCTTCACGAGCAGTAACAGACATAAGTAAGTAAGTAAGTCTAAAACACAGCATTTCCTTTTTCAGACTAGTCAGACTAGCGTCACATGTGAAGTTAGATTCAAAAAGTACCGTTTTCAGAAATACAACTTTTATATTGTTTTAGAACCTGAATCTAATTATTAGCTTGTAAATTCTAACCAGTACAATGGATTTATCAACATGATTTAGTTTTATGGATGTGTTCTTTACAATTACAACGTTTCTCTTTGTAATTAAGTATATATGTGTTATATGTTGGCCCCAGATTAGAGGGCAGTGAATTATTGATCGAACCAAAAACGCGTAAGACACTTAAGAACAGCCTAGAGTTCTAACTTGTCCTGCTCCCCTGTCTAGCCCAGCCAGTTGAGTCCAGAACACCAGCTTCAGCATCTGCTATATGAATCATTCTATTTCAAACATACTCTGTTTATATACCAATCAAACAGACTACATCATACCATAAAATAGTAAATAAAATTTGTACACGTTTTGATCAACAGGAAAATGACACGTGAAATAAATACTGACCAATAGGAAAATGATACTATTTCAAGTCCAAGGATAACATTGGACTTAACAGGTTAAGTTATGGGCTATTTTTCTGAATATCTCAATAATATGACATTGATTTGAAATTTCTGAAGACTCCTAATCTTCTAAAAACTATAAATGTGGTTTACTGATAATCAACAAGAGTATAGATAAATTAAGTTGAAGATACTTTTCAGATATTGATTCTTACCGTGGAAATCATGTAGAACACCGGAATAAATGTTTATTTTGCAAAATTAAGTATTTCCAATTAATTGTATTGAAATAGAACTGCTAATCAAATTTACCATAAATTATAATAATCAGCATAGCAATCAGTATGATGTTTAGCCTATTCAAGTTTATTCAAAACAAAAAGAAATGAAATTTGTTTTTTTGTTTTTTTCTATTATTATAGTGTTTATAACAACTAGTCCTTCCATAGTCTCATGTAAATTCATGTAAAATAAGATGATTGAAATGATCAAACTGAGATAATGATTACTTAAATTATGTTAAAGATCCATGATACTATATCTGAATCTGTAAGGTATATCAAGGGTTCAGGACACAAAGATAAACCTCGAATAGTTTTCGAATATATGAGACCTGGTTATCTATCCAAAAGGAGATAATGAGTACTGACATTCTTGTAGGTTTATGTGAAAGTAATTAGGGAAAAAAATATATTTTAATTAAGATTGATCACTTTGAAAATTTAATGAAGCGTTACTTCTGGAAAGAATGGATGTACAAAAGGTAGAGAAGACAATGTATGAAGCTGATTTATTCGCTATGGTGCTCTTCAGTTCAGTTAAACATTCAAATAAACGTTTCAACTTTAAGGATGTTTATTTATGAAGTATTTTGTTAAGTGTTGAATAACTACCTACTACCCAAAATACAACGGGTTTGTTGAACGAATAACCGTAGTCTTATAACAATATCAAGAGTGTTTATTACTCAAGAAAGATTTAGATTATGGGAAATAGACCATGATCAGTCTGTTACTTCAACGTTTGACAATGACTTTGTAGCTGCATCTTAGACCCCAAAATTCTCCCACAACTGAACTTCAAATAATAAAGAAGACGTAAAGTATAAAAGCTTGTCTTCAAGGCTTGTTTATGCACAGAAAACAACATTATTCATAAGTCTATCTGTAAACCTTTACTATTGGAAACCTCTAAAAACATGTTAGATTTAGTAATAGAGTAAATAATTATCTAATCAAATTCAAGAGACCTAATCCATGTATTTTAAACAGATATATTCAACTCTTAGATTCTCTTTGGCCTACTATATTACCTAAACTAAACATTGTAAACCCCTTACCTCTTAATGATTTTCTTTATGTTTATCTCTACTGTATCCTATTTTTAATTTACATCTTAATCTTTCTCAATTCACACAAATTTCTGTTTATAATTACTTTAATAAAACCTTTTGATTTTTACATCTTGTATTCACACGGCATTATCATTAATATTATCTCTATTAATCAAACAATGTTTTCTTACTATGCCATAAATCCATGTTTTATTTTGTTATTACATTAATTATAACTTGATAGCTTACTACGAATCATCCTAACCTCTTGTAAATAAATTTTCTTACCTACAGACGATATATTTTTTTTTTATTTGTAGTATTAAAGCCGTATGAGATACAGAGTTAACATTGTTTATAAGCAAAGATGGATAGCGGTTAGCAGTGAAATTCAGAATGTGTGTTTCATTTTATTTGAGACACGTCAGTTAGATATACCTGCATCTTAGAATTAATGTTTACTCTGTAACTCAAACCCACCATAGTTAATTTCGAATCCTATCATGTTATTCACTTAACAACTGAGTCCAGATGACCACTTACTTGTGCAATGTGATGATACGAGATTGATCATTTGTAGTCGTAAACATCAATGGGAAGATTCAAGTAATTAATAATATTGTTTAGTTTAGTAGCAGGACCTAATTGGGCTTTTTTGATATAATAATTATGGACTCCTCATTGTAGAGTCTGATTATGAAATTATTAAAAACGATTGTTCGTTTCAATATTCTCACCCTTTTTCTCGCTTCTGAAGAGCACGTCGACGGATTCTTGTGATGAATAAGTTGCAATTGTGTCTGGTTGTGAATGTACTGGATAGAAACAGACATGAAACTTTGGATTGACTCGTAAACATCACCAATACACCAGGATTTCTTATTAGAGTTAGGGGTGATCATAAAGCTGTACTGGCTATACTATAAATCGGAAAGAACTGAAGGAAATGGTCGAGTTAAAATAGAGTGATCAACAGCTTTATTCTTTACTAAGCTCACCAAAGAATGGATATATGCTTATGAAGTAACCAGAATCTTAAAAAGTTTCAGATACAAAGTAAACGGAAGGCTAGACGATTCGAATTTACATATGATCGTTCACTACAAGTTTTCGAAACCTGAGTATTGTACTGGAAGACTTATGACCTACTATATATTACACATCAATAGTTTTTATTGGTTTACAATTATATTTTGTTGATTTTCAATTTAGACCCAAAGGTGAGGATGAAGAACTAACTTATATCCTATGATACGTTTGGGTTACATCCTTTATTTGCAAAAGATTGTTCAGTTCTACATTTATGTTGATTAGTCGCTTCTTCAAACCTCTGTCGAAGACAATCCCCCTTTCTGTTGTAGTAATTATTTAGTGATTTGCGGTCACTCTTAAAAGAGAAGAGAGCAACGTAGAATTGATAATGATAGAGTAATGACATTATTTTGATTACAAAATTATTAGCCATTTAGGTCAATACTTATGGTTAAATGCTTAATTTCAGAGAGGGGTTTCGTGGATATTATAATGCTTTATTAGTTGGATTCACGAGTCAATTGGAGCTAGATTAGCATGGAAAATCTGGAAGCCATGAACGACCGTTTCGTTCTAGTACGGAACTTCCCAGCAATGCGCATGCACGACACCACCCCCTCCCCGCGAGTTTTGAAACCAGGACCTAATAATCTCGCGTGCGTGCTCTTAACTTCTGAACCACTGATCCGGTATTCAACGATGTTAATGTATAGCTCCAATCAATCCACGAATTTGAGCGACACATCCACCATTGTCATCAATGAGTTACTGTTTCACAGCAGAGCTGGTTTAACTCCACCGGTCACGAAATATCACTAGAACTCCAGGAAATACGTTTTGTAGACAGTCGGTTATGAGCATATAATTACTATATTCACAGTTGGTTTTTGTGTATATTATAGTAATTTTCATTGTTGAATTGATGAGTCAATTGAATCTAAACCACCATGGAAAACCTGGAAGCATTGGACGACCATTTCGTCCTACAATAGAACTTCTCAATAGTGCGCATTCACGATCCTGCTTGTTTATTTAATTGAAAGACTTACTTCAACAGTTGATTTCAACTATCTGATTAAACTATCATATGATAATGAGTCAAGATATTTTGGCAAAGAAATTTTCTATAATCATTATATTATGTCATTACAATAATAATAATAATAATAATAATAATAATAATAATAATAATAATTACTACTATTATTATTATTATGAGGTATATTTGAAAAAGTTAAACATACAACAACCAATTTAAACAACAATAGTAATTCAATAATACATTAATCAATAAAGATTCATTAATAAATTACATAATATATAATTATAAAATTTACGCTTAGTTACATGTCTACATATATATATATATATATATATATATATATATATATATATATAGAGAGAGAGAGAGAGAGAGAGAGATCATTGTTTTACAATCATCAAATTGAAAATTGAATAACTAACACTTTTGTTTATTTTAAATGTAAATATTTATATCAAATTTTATTTATCTGATCAAATAAAAATGTATACAATTATTGATTATTGATTATGTTATTTGATTATCATTAAAGAATAATAATAATAATAATAATGAATACAAATTGATTATTCAATAGTTCAGAATACTATTGATTCATTGTCTTTGAGATTAGTCAGCGGAAGAGGAGGAGGAGGATGAGGAGGAGGAGGAGCAGTGGAAGATATTTTATTTTATACATAGAGCATCGGTCCCCTTATAACTTATATTCATTATATACAGTTGAATTATATTTAATATTGTTTATAGATTATAGAAGTAATTAGAATTTTGATAGATTTCAGATTTTAAAGAAAAAATAATCATAGAAAATGTAAATTATTTGAATTCATAATAAGTTTCTTGAAATTTGTATACATGTTCTAGAAGATCTATGATCTACGACACAATCATTGATTATTGATTATTTTACTTGATTATCATTAAAGAATAATAATAATAATAATAATGAATACAAAAAATAAATCATCTAATAGTTCAGAATACTATTGATTAATTGGATTTGAAATTGACCAGGGAAAAAGTAGGAGCAGGAGTAGAAGTAGAAGGAGAAGGATGAGGAGCAGTGATAGATATTTCTTTTGCACGATTAGCTCCAGTTTCTTCATTTTTTATGTTAATTATATACAATTAAATAATATTTAATATTGTTCTAAATGATCTATGATCATTATTATTATTATTATCATAAATAGTTTATTTATTGTGTTTCATGAATATCTATACTACTACTACTATTACTACTATTAGTAGTAGTTTTTTCCTCATATTGTTCAATTGATATTTCTGGTATAGAATAACTACGTGTTGATGAAAAACTTATTCTTGTATATTTATTTATTATATAATATTTTAATTTATTTTCTATAAATAATAACCATAACCATAATGATACACCAGAACCAATACACATTAATGCTGATTGTAATATAATATAATCTTTTATTGATGAAAATAATAAATGACATGATATATTATGATAATATTCAATACGTTTATTATAATGGATAAAACATTCACATACATTTTTAATTATTTCTAAACAACATGGTTTCATAAATTGTTTATGTATTATTGAATTATTTATTAAAATGGAATGATTGAATTTATTGATTATTTTTGTATTGATTGTAATTTGTTGTTGTTGTTGTTGTTGTTGAGAGTATTGAAAATGTTGGGATTGATGAGGGTGGTGTTGAAAATGTTGAGAGTGTTGTGGTTGTTGTTGTTGTTCTTGTTGTTCTTGTCTTTGTTCTAATAATTGTTCTATAGATACCATTTTACATGTATTATCATAAGATGCAATTAAACTACCTTTTTGTCCAGTATATATACTTGTTGTAAGACATAATATAAAACAACTTAAAGATAAAATACCAGATGTTATCTAAAATGATAAAATTAAATAAATTAAATGATTTAATATATCATTTTAAAAAAAAAAAGAAAAAAAACTTCAATCATCTTAGAACTAATGATTGTATCTTAACATTATGATGAATTAACCAACTTCCGAGAGATGAACTCAGATCTTATTGAGATCTAAAATGCTTTGTTTGTTTGATTTAATTGCTTACTCAGCAAAGTTAATTGTTTATTGTTTGACCCTATTTTTTTTTTTTTTTTGGAAGAGAAGACTTAAACTAAAATCTTATGTTTATCTTCAAAATGCTGAATAAACTATTCATTATATTTAACTATGCAATTCAATATACAGATACTACTCACTATAACCTCTGTAATTCGTTGTCATTAGTGAAATCAATCCATTCATTATATGGATTAATTTATATGTCAATATTCTAAACTCTGAAATAATCTATTCATACGTTAATATCACTCTCATTATTTGTTCGCTGTATTAATGTATACTGCTCGATGAGACTATAATTTATGGAGGAACTAATCAGGTATAAGATACACAGGTTTCGGATTTTAGCAAGAAATTCACTCTTGGCATTATAGCTGATGTCAATTCATGATGAAAACTCCAATTCTAATATTTAAACTTAACCATCAGCTGTAAATCATCATTTGAATTTCTCATACTGGTTTATAATTCTCATTTAGTCCTAGTTATTAGGTGGACAATATCAAGGTTAATCTGGCATCACTCAAATGTCGTGCACAAATTATAGTCTCACCCATTGCTCTTCTGAAAATGCATTAAATGTTCTAGCATATGTAAGTGTATCTTATTGCACAAGTGAGATCATAGGAACCATTAGTGAATTCCATAAGTAAAACCATCTACATCTCTGGTAACCTTAACTAATCTGAATAATAATTAACATGAACAGCACATCACTGTGCTACATGACACAATGCATTATGGTAGACCTGATTGATATATTTTATTAATTATCGTTATATTGTTACGCGCTCTCTGTTTTCGTTATCCTTTCTCTAGTTGTAGATAATTATCATTAATTCGTTCCAGCACAGGAAATAACTTTAAATACACCATTCACATAAATCAACAGGCCATGTGAATATATTTAGTGTATATACTTTAATAACATTTTATTAGGTAAACCAACAGTGTTCCTTTTTCTAAACTAAACACTTTAGGTCAACCTTTCAAAGTGAAGTACCCAAAAGACTAAGGGAATATTTCATTCTGTATATAATTTGTTAAGTTCAACTTTAATTAAAATGTTTAGTTTCAATAAGTGTTTGTGATCTAAACAAATTTACAATCATCTTAACATGAATTTAAGCATGAATTAACTGAACCGGTTTCAATTCAGTCATTTCTCAGAAGGGGGTTTTTGTGGTGATTATAGTAATTTATTATTTGAGTTCAGGAATTAATTAAAGCTAGACCACAATTGAAAACCTGGAAGTACCGTAAGTCCTGGGTTCAAATCTCGTGGGGTTGTATCGTGAATTTACACTACTGAGAAGTCCCATCTAGAACGAAACGGCCATCCGTTACACGGGACTCAAAGTGAGGAACTTCAACTTCGCGCAAACTCTCTACCCCTATACAACTAAGCCAGCATCATTGATTGTTTGAAGTTAGATATTAACACCTTTGGATACTAGGACAGTAATATAATCTTAGTTTATCCATGGAAAATAATACTGTTAAAAATATTCATAAAACTTACTTGGATAATATTCATTAATTGTGGTGAGATTGAAGGAATTCTATGCTGAAAACAAATACACGTTCCAACCAAACCCGAGATAATAAGCTGAAACAAAATTTGTAAAATACAAACCAAATTTTTAAAAAAAATGCATCTTTAAAAAAGATGAAGATAAAATCGAAAAGGTTCTGAAATCGATATTAATTTAAATAAATGATTCAGTTCTTTAGAAACTTACTAGTTGAAGGTTTCGAAGCATGACAATGTACCTACTGGTATATGAAGTTGGCTTTGAGTTATATGTTTTTTTCTGTGGGAAAGCAAGGGATACTATCTTACCTAACCAAACCATAGTAAGTGAGGGGGTTCGAATGTTGAGTTCAATGATAAAATGTCATGTGCTGCAATTATTCAATCACAGAACTTATTTTGTACCTAAATAATATGTATATTCAATATTATTCTATCATGATATTCTAATGAATTATTTTTAACTAGTTAATTTGCTTTGGAATTTCATTGTCAAAGCTTAATAAACTGTGATGGTCGGTATTCAACATAATCCTTAAACTTTGTATACAGTTCGTCTTGATAACCGTCACTAGATAACGCCCCAATGGTATATTAATCAGAAAGCGAATATAAAGTGTTGATTACGTTTATTATGGGATCACACACATATATCCAAAATTACAGGTGTGTTAAGCTAGCATGAAAGAGTTTTGCTGAAAAACTAGTAGGCAAGCGAGAGAGCAAGTCAGTGAATACAAGTACGAGTAAGCGAGTACAGATAAGTGAGAGATAGAAATGAACATGAGTAAAATGGACATATATATATATATATATACATAGTGAAATGAATGAATCATCGAACTAATTAAGCGATTGCTAGTAAGGCTAGCAGCGTGAATAAATGCGTAGGCAGTAAGCAATGCTCAAGCATACATGTTCATACATTCGCAAAAATAATAAAGATACAATGATATAGATAAGTTGTTGTTGTACGGATGCCCAAACTGAAGCAGATGGTTTTCTTAGTGGTAAACATCCGGAGCCTTCAACCTGAAAGTTTGTTTGACAAGGCAGTGAAGCAACGTCAGGAAATTCAATCCCATGTTAGTTGGTGACCGATAATTGTTCCATACACCATTTGTTCCATCAATATTTTTCAACTCCCGTAGGTGAATAATTCATATCCACTAACCCGTTTAAAGCACCGAACATTCTCTTTTCGTCCTGTCAACCTCGTAAACAACAGCCCTACTACGAGAAGGCAGGGAACAGGGCTTCGCTGGCAATGACTGTATACTTGTGGCCACGTGAGTGCATTTCGAGAGGGAGAACTGACTCTCCTCACCCTCGATCGTACCATGGCATTTATGGTAAATAAATAGCAGTCATCAACTACATTGATATGAAATAAATTTTTACATAATTCACTCAGATTTCAAAGCGTTTGACATTATGTAAGAGTGACAATTTCAAATATAAAGGTAGTTTTTAATGATAATAGTTGATCATCAAAGATGCATTTCGTATATACATACTAACTTATAGTTGAAAATCATAAACCATGATTGTATTCATAATTTCACCTGAAAAATTATGGATTCCCACCGCGGAGTTGTCTCATGATGGGACAAAAAAGCCATTCAATGTTTTCATATCACTTATGAGATAGTGACTCACTGAAGACAATGGTAGATGTGTCGTTCAATTTTGTGGGTTAGTTAAAGTTAGACATTAACACCATTAGATGCCGCGTCAGTGCTCCAGAGGTTAAGAGTTCGCGTGCAAGACTGATATATTCCGGGTTCGAACCTTGTAAGGTGAAATTGTGGTTGCAGACTGCTGAGGATCCCTATATTAGGACGAGTTGGCAGCCCAATGCTTCTAGGTTTTCCATGTTAGTCTAGTTTCAATTGACTACTCATCATCTCAACTATAGAAATCTTCTACTTTTACCTACTTTCCTTTATTCTTAATACTGAAATAGATGTAAACTTTCTTAATCAAATCATATTTGTCTTTCTTTTTGTTTTGTAATTTTTACAACGATCAATATCAAACTCTATCTCTTCTTTTTTATTTTCTTTCCTATTTTTAAACTTCAATGATTAAAGGTCATCTAAGGACAGTACTCTACCATTATATCAAACACAGAATGTATATATATATATACCATTGTATATCCAATTTCAGGTTACTTATCTGATATGTATATGATAGTTGTTATATTGCTTATAGGATATCTACATATCAAAAACAATATCGACTTGATTTGCTTATGTTATTTTTCTTTTTTATGATTGACGAAAAGAAAAGAAAAAAAAAGAAAAACAGTTGATGCTTATTGCAAAAAAAAAGAAAAAAAAAGGAGAATAAGCACAGTGAATTACCCAATTTACTTAATGTTATCATATAGAAAATAATAAGATATTGGTAAGATTATCATAAATTAAAGTGTAATCATAAACAATATCGAATTCTCTATTGCATTTCTTTTCTTCTTTTCTTTTGACTTTCTATCTTTAGGGTATATTGTGTTCTTTCTTTTTAAAGTTTGTTTTTTTTTTGACAAAAAGGTAAATCGTGGAATGGTAGAGAACCATTTAGGTCAAAGAACAAAACTCTATCATAAAGGTTGATCATATGAGTAGTTAAAGATGATTTTAATGACAATATGAGTAAGTATACTGATGTTGAGCATGGTGATTTACGAATATACACCATTGTTACATAATTGAGTTGAATCTATAATGTAATTGTTTATCAGTCATATTACATAGAGATAGTTTTGTGAATCAACATAGTTAATCCAAATGAATGTTCATTATGACTGATCATATATTATATAAAAGTGTAAATATAACAATATACTATCGAAGCAGTCAGAATGAAGAAATTAGTATTGACATAAAGATGTGCAGGAGATGTTCTCTATGGATTGATCTCAGTTAAGATAGGTACTGAAAACCATGGAGTATATTATAGTTTATTCGTCACAACATAGTATTCCTTAACTATGTACACTTAAGACTTCTAAAATTGGCTATTATGATATTTATTAGTGATTGTCCCAATATAGGCGGCTGATTAAAGTCAGAAATATTTTGTTAGTCTAACGTTTAACCGTATAATATTGGATTAGAAATTAATAGGTCCAGTTCCTGGTAGCGTCATGAATGTTAAATCCTAAGAAGTGTCATACCTCATTCACTTACTTACGCCTGTTACTCCCAATCTACAACCCAACTGTACTAAACCTTCCTTTCTAATTCTTCTTCCTTCTCATATCTGTTTCCATTTTTCGGTGTAATGTGTTCTTTGGTCTTCCGCTTCTCCTTTGACCTTGGGGATTCCAAGTAAGGGCATGCCCTGTTACGCAGTTGGGTGCTTCGATCAATATGTGTCCTATCGACTTCCAGCACTTCTTCCATATTTATTCCTCCACTGGAATCTGGTTTGTTCTCTCTCACAGTAGGTTGTTGCCGATAGTGTCTGGTCAAAGGATCCGAAATATTTTGTATAGACAGCCGTTAATAAACACTTGTATCTTGTGGATGATGGATTTCGTAGTTCTCCAAGTTTCCGCCTCATACAGGAGAACTGTCTTGACATTTGTATTGAAAATTCTGAGTTTGGTGTTGGCTTGAAGACAGTTATTTTGAGTTGCAGATGTTTTTCACTTGTAGATATGCTAAACTTACTTTGCTGATCCGCCCATTCACATCTGCATCAGATTCACCATGTTCATCAATGATGCCGTCCAGATATGTAAAGGTTTTTTACATCTTTTAAAGCTTCTTTGTCAAGTGTGATTTGACTTGTGCATGTTGTGTTGTATCAGAGAATCTTGCTTTTCCATTTGTGTATGTTGAAACCTACTGTTGTTGAGGCTGCTGTTACACTGATCGTCTTGCACTTCTATGCGATAGATGAGTCAGATCATCTGCGAAGTCTAAATAAGTATCATACCAGGAGGGAACATTTATTCAGTGTTGTTTGCTCTTCAATGACATCTATCATTGACGTCAGTCTTTGGTGAAAAAAATATCATAGTTTTCCTAAAGACAATCCATTGATAAATAATAATTATTAAGCTCGATATGCTTATTAATCCCTATGCTCACAGTTATTTCTTGTTGATATTTATAGTTCCGGTTGTCAATTTACTAGTAGTTATAATTAGTTAAATAAAAGATAATTTCAACAATATGTTTACATTTAAATCCTTATAATCTGTTTATTATTAAGCGGTTTATGTTTATAATGTGTGTATGTCATGTGATAGGAAATTAAACTGAACAGAGAGAACAAAGTGAATTCATAAACGGATTATAAGCAAAGATGGATAGTGGTTAGAAGTGGAATACAGAATGTGAGTTTCGTCCTATTTGGAACTCTTCAGCTGGATATATCTGTATTTTAGAGCGAACATCGACTCTGAGATGCAGGTTCATTCAGCTGCCGAGTTCCAAATCGGAAGAAACACGCATCAAACTGGATTCCACTTCTAGCCACTATCCATCTATGTTTATAGTTTCTTAACTTATTCATAGCATCCATTTTAATAGATAAATAAAACTAATCAAGAAGTTTTGTGTTTTCATTTAACTCTCTTAAGTATTCTGAAGCTAATTTAAAGTGTTTTTAACACTTATACATTGTAAATTTTAGAAGTTTCTAATGTGTACATCATGAGTACTTGTTACTATTTGAATTTGTTTACAATTTCGTTTTTTTTAAAAACAGCAAATTAGATTTTTATGGAGTTTCGTTCTTTGAGCTGCATGGTTTAGTCATGTAGCATTCCATCGTTCTTCTGAACGACATCATCAGCATAAATATCAAGTAGAAGTTTGTACTTTAGTTAGAATTTTATGTTGATAATGTCATTCAGATGAACAATAAAATGCTCCACAACTTAACTATTCAGCTCAGACAACAAAATTCCATCAAAATCATTCACCTGAGCTACAAATCATCTCCACTATCTCATTTTATTTATATGAAATGAAACATAACTAATATGGTAGGTAATGAGTAAAAAGAAGAAACATTGAATTAATATCTGTTATAACAACTATTTCAATAAGTGAATA